CCCGCCCCGGCCCGGCCTCTCTCGGCTGCTATATAGCGCGCGGGCCGCACCGTCCAGTCCGCCCGTGCAGTCGGGGGAAGGCAGCGGCACCAGGCCCAGGCCGCCCAGCATGGCACCGGTCGGAGGGACCCCCAAGCCGCCCAAGAAGGTAACCCGCTCCCTGCAGCCCGGAGCCCGGGGAGGCCGCGGGGAGCTGGCGGGAGCCGTCCCGGCAGTGAGCTGCGGCTGCGAGGAGCACGGGCAAACGCCAGGACTTTGTTGCCTGCTCTCAGGGGGTGGCCACGGGAAGAGGCTGTTTCTCATCGGTCCTTTAAACATCCCGGAGACCTGGCACCTTCCCGTGTCCTCCTTCGGCCACAGTTTGAATTCAATAGTGCCTTGCTCCAGCGGCGGGTTGGGAAAGACTGAAATCGGGCCTCCCTTTTGGGGGATGAGTGAACTCATGAGTGGGCTGGGCAACAGTACAGCCAGCCGAGCTCTCTGTGGCCATCACGGGTGGTGGATGGTGTAGCTGAGATGGTCCAGAAACTGCACAAACCCAGGATGTTTCACTGATCCTCTCGTGGGTGGATGTCTGGTGGTTGCTCCTGAACCATCAAGGTTTCATTCAAAGGTTTGTTTCAATAAGATGTAATGGGGCTATCTTGGTGTCTTTGCTCAGCTCAGTGAAAGTATCAGGATGCCTTAGGGTGATCTCTTTTATTGGACCGACTGTGTTGGTGGAATCAAGTTAGACAAGCTTTTGAATACAAGACTTTCTTCCTCCGGTGGAGCCTGCAACCCTGCTCTTGCCTTCTCCCTTTGTAAGGTTGTGATGAGCCTTTGCTTGGGTCTGAGCAAGAATGTCATACATTGATTGGAAAGCTTGTCTCACTTCATCCCACCTAGGTAGTTGGATCAATAAGAGATCACCCTAAGGCATCCTGGTACTCTCACTCGGTTGAACAAAGGCACCAGAATAGCCTATTTGAATGAAAACTTGATGTTTCAGGAGTACCCACCAGACATCTACCCATGAGAGGTTCAGTGAATGCCTGCTGTATCCTTTTTAGAAGGCTATTATCATCATTTAATATTGAACTTCTGTATGAAAATAAGTTGAGTGTAAATTAAGTGATTTAAAAAAAAAAAAAAAACTATTTATTGTAGTCTTCAAATTTGCTTTATGTGAAACACTTGCCTTGGATCCTATTCTGTCTCTATGGCACCTAAATGGAGCTTAGGCAGCTTTCAGCATCCAAGTCTCTTAAATGCGATCCTATTCCATCTTGCTTTACTCCCTTCAAAAAGTTGATATGACCACTTTTGTGATGTGCCTTTGCCATGTGGTGATGTCAGTAATGCATCTCACTATCAAGTGAATTACCACTGTGGAGCACTTCTTGGCCAACAGTTCTGGTCAAGAGGGCAGAAAGCTTTTAGGTAAAAAGTGAATGCCAAACTCCTAGATGGCA